TAATTGAATTCTAATTGTAATTGCCTAATGGGCCTTCTAGAGTTCTAGTTCTAGTAGAAGACTAGTAGGAATTAGGAAACTACTCAAACTATGAAGTATGAACTACCAAACTAGTAGAATACTAGTTCGGTTCGGGTCGGGTTGGTTTCGGTTTTCACGCAAAAAAACCGAAACCGACCCAAGATTTCGGTTTATGTATGTGCCCAACCCGAAACCGACCGGTACGGATGAAAACCCGGCCGACTCGGGTTGGGTCGGTCCGGGTTGGGCATTCTTATGAACAGCCCTATCCAACATTGCATGGGTGCAAATGGATCCAATCTCGATCTTATTTTGTTAGATTTGGATTTTCTCTGTTCAGGTCTTTGGATCAGAAAATAGAATCCAATCAGAAATCGGATCGTATTCAAATCCCTTATATATATATATATATATATATTGCATTTTTATTAGTTTGTTATATTAATTATTTTTTTATAAAAGCATGTATATATGATGAGAATAGTTGAAAAAATATTTATATTTTTTTAAAATTATTATATATTATTTTTTTAATAATTTATTAAATTTTTAAGAAATTTAAATCAGATCCGAAAATTTGACTTCTTCATCCAATTCGAATTTGAATCCAGATCCATTTGTATTTGATCGAATCGGATTCGAATATACCCTGATTCGAATCCGATCTCATCCTTGCATTCCCAATTCATTGTCGAATGCTAGCTGAATGTAGCCAAGGCCCAAAATGAAAAGCGATGGGTTCTTGGATATAAGAGAGGGGAGTAGGCGAAAGCAAAGAGCCTTGATATATATTTTCCAACTTTATTACCTTCTACTTGGGCCAAGGAGAGACAAGCGGAAATTCATTACCGTCTTCGGGGAAATCTTTACGATGCAGAGGTCTCCTTTCTTTGTGTATAAATCTAACATTGCAGTTTGTAGAAGTGCAGGAGAACCCTTGGTAAAAAGATGAGATTTTGAGGTAGCCCCTCCCACAGCTTTTGAACTTCTAAGCAAAGTAGTTTGTATTTTGTACAACTCTATATCGCAGTGATCTTAACCGTTTGGAGCTTTTCAAAGATTTAACCTTTTGGAAGATGAAGGTAGACAAACTTTCCCCACCTTTTTATTGTTTAAAGTGTTCATCATATCACCATCATCAAGTTATCTTTCATATCCATTTTCCTAGGAGAAAGCCACCTGGGCAGTGTTGTGGAGAGTGTGGGAGAGAATGCTGAGGAGGTTGAAACAAAAAAGAGACGTGGTGTTTCTACCAGTGCCCAGGCAAACTATGAGAGGAATGCAATGTAGAGATTATAAATGAAAGATGTGCAATATGTGCTTCAAGTTCGGGGATTGTTGGGTATTAGGGTCATGAAACTTGGAAGAGAAGTGCTCTGAGGCGTGTTTGAAGATATTATCTTTAAAACGTTATTTGCCCCCATTCAGTTTTATTGAGTTTGTTGTTGGGTTACAGATAAATTTGTACCCAGGATACAATAGAGCCTTGGACAAGAATCCGCAACCAGCAAAGTTGAAGAGTTTTCGAAGAAACCTTCTAAGAGACAGTAACAAATCAAACTAAGAGAGACAATAGTGGTTTTCAAAAACCTATGTTCAATTGATTGATTCACATTCCTTAAATATTTTTTGAAGAGTCATGGAGAAGATGAGGGTGTTGATTCAGAAAAGGCTCTTTGAATAGTCACAATTTCAAACATTGTGATTGTTAAAAGTTAATTAACAATTAATGAATGTTAACTTTGAATAGGAATGAAAATTTTCCCCATTTCCCCAATCCCCATGGGGATCCACCCCGAATAGGGATGAATTTCTCCCCGTGGGGATGGAGATGGGGAAATTTTCATCCCCGTTAACGAGGACGGGGAGAGCACGCCCTACGGGGACCCCGATCCCCCCCCCCTGCCGTGGAATGTATATATGCATGCATACATTATATATGTATATATGTACATATACATCTATATATTAATATTTTTAAAAATATGATTAAATATGTTTAAATATTTTCTAATAGGATTGTAAATTCTAATTATTTTATTTTTATTTCTAAATAAAATAAAAAACAAAAACAAAATGGTTTAACATTATAAAAAATCATGGGGAATGGGGATCCCTGTGGAATAGAAATGGACGCTCGATTGTCATTCCTAACTTTGAATAGTTCCTCTTGATCACACCCAATCAGATCATGACCATTAAAATCATCAACGGTCAGCCTCACACCAAAAATTAAAGTTGTCTTATGCGCACACACATACACATACATTGTATAGTAAGAAGCCTCCATACTCTATTATTATATATTTGCAAGGAGTATAAATAAGCTCTTATTTAAAAACTTAAAACAAGTTTAATAATTTTTCAATGTGGGACAAGTTGAAAACTAATTTTAATAGGAGAAAAAATTATTTTCAACACATATGTGCAGGTGTATTTTTCATGTAATTGATCAATCAAACCCCATTGATTTTAATCTGTAATGAGATTAAAATCCAACAGGGATAAAAAATCCAAAGAAGAAACCAGCCAGTTCACCGATTCCAAGGGAGAGGGAGAGGGAGAGGGAGAGATTGTTAATGCTAACGTACACGGGAACGAGCAGAAAGGCAATGGGTGGTGGCTAGTATAAGAAATGGTGGCAAGCACCACTACCAGGCTCTTACCTAACTTGTTTGTTTCAATAGACGCATTAATTCTAACAAACTAAAACGACAATTAAGAATCTACTCCCCCACTATAACCCATTCTGAATTCTGACCGATTGAATTGAATGAAAGACGAAAAGAGAGGAGAAAAGAGTATCGCTTGTTGAGATATCCTTCTAACAAGTCGATGTGGGACGTGGAGTGCAAGAGAGTGTGACCAACTGTGTAATCATGGGTGCGTGCTTGTGACAATGGAACGCCACTATAACGCCCAGAGGAGCTCCGTCTATCTTCGTCCTGTCTGTAGTTGAGACAATGGAACGTCGAAGGACAAAAGAGTATTGCAGAAGCCTAAAAAGATTTGAAGGAACGAAAACGAAAGGTACCCCTGAAAACGGAAGAACCTCAGCCTCGGTCAGTAACCCCCAACCGATGATAATTGAAAAATAATATAGACAGAAAAGAGGAGAGTAAGGGGACTGAGAGAGAGAAAAGACGGGGACATGAGATCACAGCTGAGGTCTTGGGTTTTCGTTTTCCTACCTCTTCCCTCATTTTGCCTGTAATTGTGTTTTATTGTAGTGGTTTTCCTACCTATTCCCTCACAGAGAACGCCTCACATTGACCTTACAGCTCGTTTGAGCCGTGGATTACGAACATCTTCTCATGCATCAATACTTTAAACCGTGCCCCAAAAGCCAGGGAATATATCTGTCAGCAGACTGTCTTAGATAGTACCATAACCATTTCCTTTGTTTTTTTTTTTTTCTTTTGAATGTCTACACAACAGGGGTAGTCCGCTCCCCAACCAGTGCAGGCGGGATAAAGTAGTTGATTTACAGTCCGATAGAGCCTACCCTCCTTTTAAAAAACTTTTCTTAAGAAAACTATCATAGAAAATTACACCATGGTTTCAGCAAAATGGAGTCAACAAAGCAAGTTTAAGAACTTGTTGGACAAAGATAACACTCTCCATGAAGGGAGTGAATTAATTACTAGGATTAAGAACATCAAAGTTATGACTGAAAATACAATCATTCAAATATAATCCAAAAACAAATCCACCTTTAGTCTTCACTGAATTACAATAAATTAGTATAAATCGAAGGAAATGTAAGTTAAATTTCTGATGACAAATAAGAACATGTCAAAATTTGCATATTTATAAAAGACAAAAACTGTGTAGAATTACAGTGAAAAATCAGTTGAGTGAACCAATCAGTCTCTTCTACGTTGTTCTAAAATGCAGAACCACCGCCCTTTGTCTTCCCCAGCAAGACATCCTTTGCCTCGTTGATCTTAGAAGCAAGATAATGGCTCCCGCCACTATCAGGGTGGTTTGCCACCATAACTCTTCTATGAGCCTCCTTTATCTTGTCCATAGCAACATGTTCCCTGAGACCCACACAAACATTTATGGTTGAAGATTTAAAATAGAGGAAGTGAATATAATGCACAACAACATTCATTGAAAATCAATGAAAAATCATGCTACGAGCCAGGGAAATTTCACTAGACCACATTGTCCAAAGTGCGACCAAGCATGGGATTTGTCTAAAGCAAAGCACACAAGGGAGATAGGGGGCCTTTTAGTTTACTATTCTCTGGTTCTGATGTAAATGGAATGACTCTTGGAAACAGACTCGTACCTGATACCAAGTATTAATGCAGCTTCTCTTCTTGTCATGACCTGCTGAAATCCACCCTCGTAAAATCTCCGTGTACGGGGCACAACAGGGCGAGCCTTGAATGCTTGCCATGCCTGGATTAAATATCTACCTCCCAAGGCAGCAGCAGCAACTACAATACCTGCTTCAAGAGGAGCTGCCTGGAACAGGGAAATAGTGAGAAGAAAACAGAACTTAAAATATTAAGTACAATGTACCATCTTTCATAACCTAAAACTCAACCAACAGCAATCTTAAAAATTTTTATCCGCTAGAAAATTTTGATCCACAAGGTAGTAACTACAACTATTTAGTTTAAAGTATTTTTAGTGAATGATTAGAAGATATCTATTAAACATGCTTCACTATTATTGATGTAATATATATACTTTTTTAAGAGGACAATGTTTTCTCTCTATGGCTGCAAACTAGTCAAATTGAACACAGGTATTTCCATATTAACTCCATGGGACAGATCAACTATCCAAATTTGATTTGACATTATGCATGATCTGGTGAGTGGTGAGTGGTGACTCAAATTCAAAACCACAAGATGATCAGATGATTCTATTCAGTTACTTAAAAAATAAAAATAATAATAAGAGATAATAATAATAATAATAATAATAATAATAATAATAATAATAATAAAGTGCTCTCCTACATGCCAGAGATAAGAGAACATCATAAGGGAACTAGGAAAAAAATTCAAAAGTTGACTTAATAATTCAAATAAAAACAAAAATCAGTCCAGATATCCACAAGAACAAATGGTCTACTTAACCATCATCCATGCAAAAATATCCCATAAATAAGAAATTCATCAAACAACAATGCGTCAACTAAAAATCTTAGTATAAAACTGAATTGGTCCGAACTTGAAGGTTAACCTAATATCCATGGTTTTAAAAAGCTTAAGCCTTAAGCCTTGGAAAGTTAACCTAATATCCATGGTTTTAAAAAGCTTAAGCCTTGGAACAGAAACTTAAAACTTGTGCCCTTGTCAGACTGAGGCATGTGCCTCAAGCCTCGAGGTGTGAGATGTAGAAAGGCATATGCCTTGGTAAAGTGCAAATTTGTCATTAAAATGTAAGAAAAATAAATATTATTTTGAAACGCCAAAGGTGTAGGGCCTTCTTGTCATTATATGACAACTAAGACGAGACAAAAGAAAGAGAACACCCAAATTGTGTTTACCCCCTCTTATCTAGGTTTCATATTTGAAATTCTTCAAAGGGTTTGGGAGAGAACCTCTTGGTTCTCCCTTCATTCTCCACCAAATGGAGTCCTGTTTTTTTTTTCATAGATTATATGCACTTGGGCAACCATAGATCTGGCTTCTGAGGTTTGATTTTTTTTCTCTTTTTTTCTATTTAAAAATACTGTCTTAGCATCTTCTACTTCCCTAATTGATTTTGCTTGTTCTTAATTTTTTTTCTTTTTGCATAGAATTGACCTTTGGACTTGGTTTACCTATTCTAGAGTGTTGGGCGAACAAAAAACTTTCAAAACAGGTAATGATTTTGTTTTTCTTTTTTTTTCCACAAAATCAAGTAAAAAAACAAGTTGTGACCCATTTTAATTTATTTTTCTATATAAAATAATCTTCTGTTTGATTCTTTCTACTTTCTAAACTGATTTTGCATTGCTAATTTAATGATTTATGTCCATGTGATGTGGCAAGATGTTCATGGATATTTGTTTGGTACTTTGGTTGAAACTGTTGAATCTAGCATATATTTTAACTTCCAACCTTTTAAGTTTAATAATTTTATTTGTAAATCTATTTATTGTTATTTGTTTATCTGTAATGTGCCAATTTGTATTTTTATATTTAATATACTGATTTGGTTCTTAGAATTGAGTGTGCTATTTTATAGAGTATTATATAAAAGATTTAGAAATATATTGTAAGGTTTAAGAATTAGGAATGTCATTTTCATAATATACTAATTGTAATCTGAAGAGCTATACTCGAAGTAGCAAGGAGGAGAAGAGAACCACAGAACTGAAGAGAATGTCGAACTGTACTAGGCAGTCGACCAGTCTTTTATTTATAGATGAATATAGTACAAGGTACAAGAAATTACTGGGATGCCCCTGATTAGTGATGGGACACCCAGATGACTTAAATCACTAAACAGGATTAGGCCCATTAACACAGGCCCAATTACAAGATAAGTTAAACATAAGACTGGGCTAATAAGAACTCTTATCAGCCGAACATCACTCTAACATTCTAACACTAATAAACAAATAAGTGTTTAAATGTATTAATTTATATTAGTTTATTCTTATTTACTTGAACCCTCATTTTTTTCTTGAAAAAATCCTAAGAGTTTAAGACTAATTTTATATTATGCATCTTGTCTATTATTTATGTTTATTGGAATTGAAATTGAACTATTTCTCTTATTTAAAATTTATAGTATTTTTTTTTATGAATGAGTGAAGAAATATATTAATCATAGATGGCAAGATATACAAGCATCCCAAGGAGAGGCATGAGATGCGAATAAAGACAGTCCCGAGAAGTTACAAAGACAGTCTCAAAAAGCCCAATAAAGACGATCCCGAGAAGCCCCTTGTTTGGCTAATGAATTGGCTACAGCATTTGTCAATCTACTTGCCCGCTGAACACTAACTATCATATTGCTAGTTAGCCCTTTCACTTTTTTAAGAAGATCTCTATAACCCCAATGACAGAATCCGGGTTCAAAAGCCACCCCACAACCGCCTAAGAATCACCTTCAATTAGTAAATGCTCCACCCCAAGCTGGTTCGTAATCAAGATCCCTTATACAGCAGCTAGTATCTCTGCCCTAGTAGAGTCACCCACTCCCAYTGGTCCTGAAAATAAGGAAATAATGTTGCTATCCTTATTTCTTAGAACTCCTATATTTTTTTTTATCAAACTTAGAACTCATATATTTGAAGATCCCAAATTACCATGGCTACTCCAAAGTTCAGCTTAATGGCACCCTCTAGAGGAGGTGTCAATTCTACCAGACTTCATTCTTCCTAATAGAGGTATTAGTCACAGCTAG